GGGTGCGAGGGGGGCTGGGAGGGAGGGTGCGAGGGGGGCTGGGAGGGAGGGTGCGAGGGGGGCTGGGAGGGAGGGTGCGAGGGGGGCTGGGAGGGGGGCCGGGGTGTGTCGGCTGCCCTCTCCCCCGCCCGGAGCAGCGAGCTGTGAAGGGAGCCGCGTGCGGACAGCCTTTCCCCCTTTCCCGGGAGTGGGGTCTGAGCTCCCCGCCTCCCTTCTCCCGCCTCCAGCGCGGAGCCCTCCGGTGTCAGCTCGGGGAGGGAGGCGTCGGGCGGGTCTGCCGTCCGACCTGGCTTCCTTTCAGCTGCCTCCCCGTGCTCCAGGCCTGGAGACGTTCAGCGCCCCCGGAGTCCTGCTGAGCCGCAGCGGCCCCGAGGTCTCGGCCAGCTTCGACGGCTCTGCCGCGGTCTCGGTGACCGCGCTCTCCAGCGCCCTCCACGCCTCCGCCAGCCTCCCGCGGGAGTACCGGGACCGCACCGAGGGCCTCCTGGGTGAGGGCGGCTCGGACCTGCGTCTGCGGCGCTGGGCTTCCCTTCCCGTCCCTTCCCGTCCTGGGGCGCAGCCCTCGGGCCCGGAGCGGGCCTGGGGGGGACTTCTCCGCCTGCGCTAAGGCTCCCCCCCCCCGCCCTCCTCCGGCTCCAGGGGAGCGGCAGGGCGGGCTCCGGCGAGGCGGGGCGGGGGCACGGCCGTCCTCCCTCCTTCCCTCCTGTCCCCCACGCCCCTCGCCCCCTCCTGCATCTCTGCCCCCCCGTAAGCAGAGGGCGGCGTGTGAAGGCCCGGCCCCCCCAGCTCCCCTGGAGGCCTGACCGCAGGTGCAAAGGCAGAGGCTCGGTCCCGGCCGCTCCTCCCTGCGTCCCCCGATGCGGGCCGGGAAGGGGACAGCCGCGTGCCCAGCGTGGCCAACCTCCCACCCTGTCCCCCAGGGATCTGGAATAACAACCCGGAGGACGACTTCAGGATGCCCAACGGCTCCGCCATTCCCCTAAGCAGCTCTGAGGCCACGCTTTTCCGCTATGGAATGACCTGTGAGTCTGGGCAGAGTCCTGGGGCAGACAGGGCAGATGGGGCAGGCCGGGCTGAGGCGAGCCGGTGTGCTCCTGTCGCCTCCCTCGGGCCTGTAGGAAGCAGGTCGGAGGGGTCTGTGCTGCCGCAGGTCTGTCCCCTCCGCTGCCAACCCAGCTGTATCTCTCTACCTGGGGGAGAGCAGGGCGGGGTGGAGGGCCTCTCTCATTGCAGCAGGCGCTTCCAGACGCAAGCTGGAAACCGTTCTGGCCCTGCACTCCCGCCGCCCCCAGCCACGTAAAGTGAGGGGTAGGGTGGACACAGACAGAGTGAGGCCGAGTGCCACACCTGACACACGGCCGTGAGCCCTGCGTGTTCCATGTTACAGGGGAGATCAACGGGACAGGCCTCCTCGGGGACAGGAATGACCCGCTGCCCCCCGGCTTCAGCCCTGTTTTCTACGACCAGCTGCAAACCAGCAGCTCCCTGGATGGAGATTTGATCTCCAACTGCAACGGAGACAGAGCCTGCATCTACGACGCCCTCGCCACGCGCAGCGCGGGCGCTGGACTTCACACGCTGGCGCTCCGTAAAACCTACGAGCGGGTGAACGCCACCGTCAGTAAGTGGCCCGAGGCCCCAGGAGGCCTTTTCAGAGCGGGGGCTGAGGAGGAGCAGCCCTCCCTGACCCTGCTTGGCCCTGCGCGTCTGCCCTCACCGAGCAGGTTCTTCCTCGGCTCAAACCCTCTCCATCCTTGCGGTGGCCTCAGGCCTGTTCAGCCTGGTCCCGCCGCTTCCCAGAGATCTTCTCCTGGCGCTCTACCCCTTCCCAGCTCCCTCCACTCCAGCCCCGGGCTCCCTGTGTTCTTCAGACACACCAGGCTTCGCACATGCTGTTCTCTGGCCTGGACAGTCACAGGCTTGCCCCTCCCCCTCATCCCCTTTATGCCAGTGTCCCCTCCCCGGCGAGGCCTCTCTTGGCCACCCTAAAATGTCACGTTCACCCACACTTCCTGTTTGCCTTCCCGGCTTTATTCTTTTCCCCTTAGCATTTATTATGACTCAACGTATTTTATAATTTTCACAGGAATCTTTTTTATTCATTAATGACTGTACCCTCACTCCCCAGACAGTGCCAGCCACTTAGCTCAATAAATACTTGTTAAATGACTGACAAACTGTGAAACAGAAGTGGCAGGGCTCCAAGAAACAGACCCATGAAAAGGTTTCCCTCCCTCTGTATTTCCGAACAAATGCAATGTCCGTTTAGACATTCCCCTCCAGGTTTTCAGCCCTTTGCCAAAGGCACAGCTCTGTGATGGTCTAAACAAGCCTGCTCTGTAATTCACTTTTTGTCACACCCAGTGTAGCACTGTGTTCAGGAAAGATTATGAAAGGGAACTCTTTTTGAGGAGGTGGGGAGAGAAAGAGAACTAAAGATTTGAACAGTGGGCAGCACAGTCCCAAGCTGCTGTGCTTCGGTCTGAGAGCAGGCTCCTTCTTCCAGAGGCGGGTCCCAGTCCTGGGAACACCCCACATATATTGTAGCTGAGAAAGAGAGGAGGCTGAGGAAGCAGGGGACTGTCCTGCCTTGGAACCCCCATCCCCTCTTTGTGTTTCAGATCAGTACCCGCCCTCCATCGAGGGTAGCCCTGTGGTTGAAGCCTACAAGGGGCAGACCGTGCTGATTCAGTACACCAGCAATGCTGAGGATGTCACCTTCATGCTCAGAGACAATTGTACCGACTTTAAGCTCTTCGGTAAGAATGTTTGACTGGGGAAAGTGGGGAGGTAGGTAGGGGATGAGGTCAGAATCAAACTTTGGGAAATTTTGCATCGCTATACCCAGCAAAACTTCCTGTCACTCGTTCATTTGAATATCCAGGACTGGCATTTCTTTGGAACGATCCCTATAACTCAAATAGGTGTCCCCCAGGCCAGGTGCCGTGGCTCATGCCTGCAATCCCCGCACTTTGGGAGGCTGAGGCAGGTGGATCACCTGAGGTCAGGAGTTTGAGACCGGCCTGGCCGACATGGTGAAACCCCTTCTGTACTAAAAATATAAAAGATAGCCAGGCGTGGTGGTAGGCGCCTGAAATCCCAGCTACCTGGGAGGCTGAGGCAGGAGAATCACCTGAGCCCGCGAGGCAGATGTGGCAGTGAGCCGAGATCGAGTCACTGCACTCCAGCCTGAGCAACAGAGCAAGACTCCATTTCAACAAAAAAGGAACTGATTCAAAGATTATTTAATCTCAATCTGATCATATGCAGTCATCTTTAATTATCATTATGCATCCACCAAGTTATTAGAAAATCAAGTGCAACAGTTTAAAATTACCAATCACAACATTTTTATATCTATTAAAGGAAGCATCTAATGCAGGACAAAATTTAAAGAAATATAAAAAATACTTTTGTTCACTGCCTTTCTTGCTCTTTTTATGTGTGGTAACCATGTTTACCCAGCTGTGTCTCTCCTCTTCTGGTTTCCTGGACCAGGACCCAGTAAGGCGTCATGGGTCCCTCTCTGTAAAGGTGTTAGGGACTCCGAGGCCTGCATCCATGATCGAGGCCAAAGGGTCAAAGCACAGGGGACGCCGCTGTCTGTCTTACCAGCACTAATTCTTCGGTGGCTGTTCTTGGCTAAACCAAAGCCCCCAGGGAGCGTGTTCTGCGTTCCCTTTGCCTCTGCCTGAGTTCCTTTCTCTCTGTGTGTCAGAAGGGACTGCTGTGCCCTCATCCCCTTTGCCCATGTGTGTCCTCCCAGGTGTAGGACAATGGCACTGGGAGACTTTCTTCTCCACCGGGCTCCACACTTGAAGAATTACATTCGTCTGTCACTTCCCTTCAACCTGCTGTTTTAAGGAGACTTTCATATTTTCTTGAGAAATATAAATTTGATCAGAAGATATGTCACCGTCTTTCACTCTAGTCCGGTGTCTGAGGGGGTGTCTGGTCAAATGTCCAGGAAGTGGGGGTGGGTGAGAAATCAGGGCAAAGGATGGGGTTGCTGTGAGACTGAAGCCAGTTTGAGTGGCGTGTAGCCCGGGGAGGTGTCTGGAGGATCCCAGTGTTATCCTGCATCCCTGAGGGTGGCCCATCCTAGTGCAAGCCCAGGCAGGGCTGCCCTTTGGGGTTTCTTCAGGGGAAAACTGCTTTCCCCTCTGTGGCGTCCCCTGCTACAATCAGTAAGTTGGGCTGGTGCGACCTCCTTCCAGCTGGGAGTGTGACCAGGATTAGCCCCGCATACCAGCCTTGCTCAAAGAAAATGACCAGTGAGATCTGTCTGGGGCAGGGGGAGGGTGGTCTCAGAGGGGTGGGGGAATCCTGCATCAGCAATCGGGGTTTTAGATGCCAGGGTGCATCAGACCACAGAGCACAGGAGTCTCCCAGCTCTCAACGATCTCATTTTCCCTGGGGCAGAGAATGGGACATTGCTGTGGACACCCAAGTCGCTGGAGCCATTCTCTCTGGAGATTCTAGCAAGAAGTGCCAAGACGGGCTTGTCCTCCGCACTCCAGCCCAGGACCACGGTCTGCCACTGCAGTGCAAAGAGCCAGTGTTTGTACAACCAGACCAGCAGGGTGGGCAGCTCCTCCCTGGAGGTGAGTGTTGGGAGGAGGTGGAGGAGTTTCTGCGCTGAGGGATGCTGTTTCTGCCCCTCCTGGGCGTGTCTGTGTTGGGAGGTGGGTGGAGCTGTGACAGATGAGTAGAGAGGATACCAGTCTTAGGCCATAAAACTCACCTGGGAAGACAGAGAACCTTTTTTTTTTTTTTTTTTTTGAGGCAGAGTTTTGGTCTTGTCGTCCAGGCTGGAGTGCAGTGGCACGATCTCAGCTCACTGCAACCTCGCCTCCTGGGTTCAAGCGATTCTCCTTTCTCAGCCTCTGAATAGCTGGGACTACAGGTGCCCGCCACTGTGCCCGCTAATTTTTGGTATGTTTAGTAGAGACGGGGTTTCACTGTGTTGTGTTGACCAGGCTGGTCTCGAACTCCTGACCTCAGGTGATACGCCCGCCTCAGCCTCTCAAAGTGCTGGGATTACAGGGGTGAGCCACCGCCTCCGTCCTAGAGAACTTTCTTTATTGCTTATAGTTGAACTGAATGTTTATCTCCCACCTCCCCTTCTGCCAGATTGGCAGGAAACTTCCACCTCCGTCTTTCTCACCATGCCCAGTGGTTCCCAGTTCCACAGTTCTGCGGCCAAGCCCAGCAGAGGGCCCTGAGGTGTGGGGTGGGAGGTGGGCATGGGGTCCCTGGGCATGAGTCCACACAGGTTTCCATCACAGCTCTGCCCTCCATCTCCCCTTCAGACCCAGGGAGATGTGCCGCCGCTTCTGCGCCTTGCTCAGACACAGGAAACCTTTTACGAGGCTGCTTCCGGCCCCGTCTCCCTAGAAGCCCCTCACAGCATTTCTCCCTGGATAGCATCATCACGGTGCTGGGGAGACAGCTGCAGGTCCCCCCTCTCCTGGCAGCTCCAAGCCCCTGTGCTTTGTCTTTCACTGTCTCCTTCCAGCTAAAAGAAACATCTTTTCCAGTTTGGAGACATTACTTTTCCATGTTTCTAGCCAAGATACTTGGCCTCATTCCGCAACTCTTGTCCTGTCTGCTTTTTTTTCTTTTTGGTTGTAAAGAAAGAGCCAGAAAGGAAAGTGTTTATCTGGCAACACAAACCACCTCCTTCACCCCTTACACACACACACACACACACACACACACCCCTACCCCCTTCTGAAGCATGAGCAGAGAATGAGCACTTGAAAGGGATGGAGGTAAGGAGGGCTGGGGGGTTGAGGGGTGGAAAAGGATAAAATACATAGTGGGAAAAAGAGAGATTGAAATTGATGTGCCACTCTATGTGTCCCCAAATAGCCACTCTTGGGAGTAGAACGTGTTAGAGATTCCATTTTAGGGAGACTCCCTGAGTCGTTTCAGTAAGGGAGTTTGAGAGGGGAGTCGGGAGCCTGGTGAGCCACAGCCTTTGCTGGGCTGTGTTCTGGTTGCTGCATTTCTTACGGTGCTTAGCAGGGAGGCTCCGTCTTCCTGGCTTGGGAGTCAGCAAAGGAGGTCAAACTTCAGCTTAGATGAAATCCAGTTTGCAGGCCACATGGGAGGCTGAGGCAGGCGGATTGCTTGAGCTCAGGACTCCGAGACCAGCCTGGACAATATGGCCAGACCCCGTGTCTGCTAAAAATCAAAAAATTAGCTGGGTGTGGTGGCACATGCCTGTCATCCCAGCTTTTCAGGAGGCTGAGGCACAAGAATTGCTTTAACTCTGGAGGTGGACATTGCAGTGAGCCGAGATTGAGACACTACACTCCAGCTGGGCAACAGAATGAGACTCTGCCTCATAAAAAAAAAAAAAAAAAGAAAAATACAAAAAGTGGGCATGATAGCACATGCCTGTAGTCCCAGCTCCTCCCTAGTGGGAGGACGGGAGGTGGGAGGACGGGAGGTGGGAGGACAGCTTTTGAGCCTGGAGGTGGAGGTTGCAGTGAGCAGAGATCAAGACACTGCACTCCAACCTGGGTGACAGGGTGAGACCCTGTCTCAAAATAAATAAATAAATTAGGAATCCAGTTTTCAGGCAGTAGTAGAGCACACATACATACATACATACACGTACACACTCATTTCATTCATGCATTCGGTCAGTCATTCATTCATTCCCTGTCTTACTCTGGAAAGGATTTCAGGCAAGGAGCTACAGTGCGAGATGGAAGAGGCTGAGCTCCTGGTGCAGGACCGGGGGGGTCAGGGCAAACAATGACCCGGGGAGGCCAAATGGGCAGCACTACCGTGTGGCTTCAGGCAGGGCCTTGCAGCCCTCAGGCCTGGCCCAAGACGGTGCTCAGTAGGTGCTGGCAGAGCTAAGACATGACTCAGGGTCCACGGGTTCTCAAGCCAGAGGGATCCGTCAGAAACACCCAGAAGCCCTTACTAGTTTGGTTTCCTGGCCTCCCTGTGATCAGCAACCCTTCTCCAGGTGGCTGGCTGCAAGTGTGACAGGGGCACCTTCGGCCGCTACTGCGAGCGCTCTGCGGACGCCTGTGAGGAGCCGTGCTTTCCAAATGTCAGCTGCGTTCCTGGGAAGGGCTGTGAGGCCTGCCCTCCAGGCCTGACTGGGGATGGGCGGCACTGTGCCGGTAAGCTGGGAACAGGGCCTGGAGGAGGGGCTTCAGGGACAGGTGGTAGCTCAAGTGTGGAGACAGCCAAAGGCAGTCCCTTTCTCTCCCATTTCCAGCAAGCCTTAGAACGCCCAGTCTAGGTAGGCTTGGAAAGCGGGTGGTAGATGGTGTGGGGCTGAAGGAGAAGAGGTGGTACAGGCACAGGGGAGGGGACAGTGCTCAGCACCCCCGAGACATTGATGGGGAAAACCCCAGGCCAAAGTGAAGAGAGAGGAGACTTCAGCGGCCAGCGAACCAGGAAGGCTGGGTCCTCAGGCTCCCTGGGCGTCTTCAGAGACACAAGGCCCAGGTCTCTGCATCTCACAAATCAGGACATTTGGGGGTGCTGGCACGGGGATCCAGCAGTAAAGGTGCCTGATTTTCCCTTTGAGTCCTCCCAGCCATCCGTCCCTCCCGCTCTGAGCCACCAGAGTCTGACGAGGGAGATCACAGTGAGGCCTTTACCCAGCCCCCTAAGGCACCCAAATACAATCTAGAGATCACTGTGCCTTCAGAGCCAAGGCCAGAGTGGGTGGGACTGCAGCTTTGATAAAGGCAGAAAAGGAGATGGAAGTGAGAGGGGAGAGTGTGAGGAGAGCCGGCCGGGGCCCCCCTCTGCCGGCCTTCGGGGTCCTTTCTGAAGCAGAGGGTCTGAGAAACGCTCCACTCCCACTGCGGAAGTGGAAGAATACCTGCCTGGCCGAGGAAGAGCGTTTCCCTGCAGAGAAATGCCTGGAAAAGGGGAGAAGGAGGGTCTGGGGTTCCGAGTGGCCCACAGCAGGACACTGCGGGAAAGAAACCAGGCCTGTCCCAGAGCGGGTTTCCACGGGCTGGCTCTCCCTCTGCTGCCCGCTGCTGCTGACCTCCCTGCTCCCTCTGCAGCTCTGGGCAGCTCTCCCCTCTGTCGGAATCAGTCCTGCCCTGTGAATTACTGCTACAATCAAGGCCACTGCTACATCTCCGAGGCTCTGGGCTGCCAGCCCTCGTGCACCTGCCCCCCAGCCTTCACCGACAGCCACTGCCTCCTGGCTGGAAACAACTTCACTCCGACTGTCAGCCTGGGTACCACCAGATGCCCTGCCATCCCCACCTGTCACTTCTCCCACCTTTGGGGAAGATGGGGATGCTCTGGGGTCACGGCACAGAGCTCCAGGCTTCTCTGGGGTGCTGTAAGGTGTGGGCTGAGGGAGCTGGTAAGGGCCGCTGTCATGGCGAGGACCATGGGCTTGTGGACCTACTGAGGAAGGGTGGAGGCAGAGACCTCATAGCTGGCTCAGGTAGATGAGAGTCAGGGAGACCCTGACCAGAAGGGAATGAGCACTAGGGTGAGGGCCACTTCTCCTGATTTCTTCAGTGACCTTCTGTCACTGTGGAATGGAGTAGTCTCCCTGGGCTGGCCCAGCAAACTTCTTGGGTAAGTCTGGGTAAACCATAGGATGATGATGAATTTCCTTCTCCCATCTCCAGAACCTCCCCTAAGAGTCATCCAGCTCTTGCTCAGCGAAGAGGAAAATGCCTCCATGGCAGACGTCAACGCCTCGGTCAGTGCTACAGGCAGCGCTCTGGGTGGGAAGGAGAGCTTGGGGGTTCAGGCCAGGGCTGAGCCATCACTGGGCATCCTTCATCTTGTCATCCATCTGGATTCAATTGCCAGAGGAGGCCGGAGCCTCTTGCCCCATGGGAGGTGCAGGTGGTTAGGAAGTGAGGAAGGCTCAGGACAGAAACCTCAGAAGGGGTTGGAGTCACCAACTCATCATGAGCAGAGGCCAGGGTGCCAGGTCACCCCAGCCTCTCCCTCTAAGAATCTCTCAGGACCTGTACTTCTTGGGTGTTATCTGAAAGAAAACAAAGGGCATTTCACGTCCAGGGAGTCTTCCGTGGCTTCCCAGAGGGAACTGGGGGCTCTGTCTTGGCTCCCATGCCATACCTCAGTCACAGGCAAAGTAGCGCAATTGCTGAGTTGTTGCAGCTCTGAATCCTGCACACCCAGGTTCAAAACCCCTGCCCTGCCACTCACTAGAACAAGTGTGCTAATTAGACACATTATATAATGGGTCATCTGTAAACACAGGGACAGTCATAGCACCTGAGTCAATAGGTTGTATCACCGTTTAAATGACAATGTGTGGCCGGGCGCGGTGGCTCAGGCCCGTAATCCCAGCACTTTGGGAGGCCGAGGCAGGCCGATCACAAGGTCAGGAGCTCAAAACCAGCCTGACCAACGTGGTGAAACCCCGTCTCTACCAAAAATACAAAAATTAGCAGGGCACGGTGGTGCATGCCTGTAGTCCCAGCTACTCAGGAGGCTGAGGCAGGAGACTCGCTTGAACCCAGGAGGTGGAGGTTGCAGTGAGCCGAGATCGTGCTGCTGCACTCCAGCCTGGCGACAGAGTGAGATTCCATCTCAAAATAACAACAATGTGTGTAGAACAGTGCGATGCCCGACATACAAGTACTCAGAAATTACTTTTGCTATTTTGGCTGCTGCCAGCACGGCACTCCACATGGTGAGATCTGCTGACAGCTGTCACCTGCACCAGACTGCGCACTCTTTGAAGTTAGACTCCTCCTAAGTCACCTTGACACCCGCAGCCCCGACCACCTCCTAGTTCTGCCTAAACAATTGATGTCCAATGTGCTGGGGCAGGGGCCAAAAGTTGTGGATCAGAGGCAAGGAGGGGCCACGCACGTCAGATCCTCCGCTTGTTATATGAGGCCTAGGAGGGGAGAGAATGGAAAACGCTTCCCTCACCACAAATATTAAACAAGGACCCGTGACAGTCACTGGGCTAGGCCAGAGGGCGAGGATGTGGAGCTGGGCGAGACATGTGTCCGGGTCCTGGGACTCACATTCAAGGAGGAAACAGGGATGAACAAACGCGTCAAGGTGGGGGAGGCCTCCTCTCTGGATGGGGCCTCACGCCCACCCCCCACCGCCTATCCCCCCTTCCCTCGTCCCCTGCCCTAGGTGGCATACAGACTGCGGACCCTGCACGTGCGGGCCTTTCTCTACAACAGCGAAGTGAACCGAATGTAAGTGGGACGGTGACCCCTGAGCCCCAGGTCTTCTTCCTCACCGGGCCCCGGCCCTCACTGTCGCCCTCCCACACAGCGATTCCCCAGCACCGGCCTCAGAAAGCCCCGTTCAATACTGGACGGTCACGTCGCAGTTCCAGTACCGCCCTGGGGGCCCTGTCATCCACTTCCTGAACAACCAGCTGCTGGCCGCCGTGGTGGAGGCGTTCTTATACCAGCAGGTTCCACGGAGGCGTGAGGAGCCCAGGAGCGACGTGGTCTTCCAGCCCCTCTCCAGGGAAGACGTGCGTGATGTGACGGCCGGTGAGTCAGTCCATCCGGGGACGGTGTGGGACAACTGCGGTGGGCGGGTGAACCCAGGGTGCTTCAGCCCACACACACACGTTAATTTAGTTTTTCTTTGTTTGGTTTTGAGAGAAAACATAAACATTTTATCCAGCTGCTTTTTGGATTCAGGAGCAGGAGCACCCAGTGCTGCCAAGGCAGCCACATGCGTCCGGCTTCACGGAGCGAGCGCTCCAGCCCCAGCCTTGCTGACCGCGGCTGCCCACGGAACGGCAGCAGTTCATTTTCATAAAATTGCTCCTGTTTTCTTAAAGTGCCATTGCACTTAAACATACACAAGGGCATCGCCATCGTCTCTGCCCCCCAGCTGGAGGACGTGAAGCTGGAGACTGGCCAGGGAAGGATGTGCTTGCACCCTCCCCAGGCCAGGCCTCAGTACCCCACCTGAAAATGAGGTGGGGTTTCTGAGCCGCCTTTCAGCGCTGACGGCCCAGCCCCTGTTCTCCCGGAACAGGAAGAAGTTGGCAAGCTTGTCAGAGAAGGAAAAGAATAACGCACCCTATTTTCTGGATGGGGCAGAGAATAGAGGAGTGGCCATCCCAAACATAACAGAAACTGCCGTTTGACTCGGGTCTAGGAGCAAGCAAGAGCTTCTTCTAGAATCCAGGTTAAGCCCCCTCTCTCCTGGAGGAATAAGGAGAAATCCCTCAGAACTACTCTGTGTTGGCGAGTTGGGGTCGGAGGAGCAGGAAGGCGAGCTCTGATTGTGCTACTAAGGAGAGCCTTGGCCGGGCACGGCGGCTCACACCTGTAATCCCAGCACTTTGGGAGGCCAAGGCGGGTGGATGACCTGAGGTCAGAGTTCGAGACGAGCATGGCCAACCTGGTGAAACCCTGTCTCTACTAAAAGTACAAAAATTAGCCAGGCATGGTGGCACACAGCTGTAATCCCAGCTACTCAGGAGGCTGAGGCGAGAGAATCACTTGAACCCGGGAGGCACAGGTTGCAGTGAGCTGAGATTGTACCACT